CACAATGTTTAATCAGTTACTAATATAACTAATATATAATTATTAATGTAATATACTCCGGATCTACTAACAGCAAATACAGACTTCACTCTCTAAGTTATGTCTAAAGGAAATACGACATTAAAAGGCCGACACAGTGCTGACTGATGCTTTGATGTGCCTTATATCTGAGCGTACGTTGTCTGTAACGGTGGTTTCAACATTTCTGAACTCAAAAACACAAATTCAGGTCCACATTTCCTCGTTTGTCTGCGTTCTCACTGGTTTCAGGTGGGCTCAGTTGTAAAAAGGTGTTAGTAACATGAGACTAAAGCAGAGGTTGACCCTTTACCGGACAGACGAGCAGGAACCTCCTACATATCGAATAAAAAGCTGTTACTTATTAAACCGGGTCTACAATAACATGTAGGGCGTCCTCTCGTGGTATAAACATACCTTGTTATCATGCATACAGTCATAAGCTATTAAAATAATTATTGACACATGCATACAGTATATTCATGTTTGAATTTTAAAGATACATGTGGAATTTATCTGTGCTAATAATATGTTGGATTCACGTTAATGTGTTTTTTTAAGACATTTGAATTTTTTTTGAGTAATAAAATATTTCCCCTGATCCCTGAAGCAACACTGAGGACCTCCTAAGGGTCATGGACCTCCTATTGAAGACCCAAGCTCTAAGGTTGTTGTTTTCTTGTAAATTAAACTTGTAATTTAGTCACAAATATTCCAGGTTATAGTAAAAATACTTTAAAAGTTTGTGTTCACTGTAGAATCTAGTTGGCTGTGTAGCAGCTCAACATACACGCAGACGTAACATATTACCCAATATATATCAAGTAAGGAATACCTGAATGTCTCACAATGTTTAAATGTTAAAAGGTGGAGTACTGAGGGAACTAATAACAGTTTACTGTTTAATACATCCTCTTGCAGGAGGATCCGATGGCCACAAGGTGCCACTAATCCATTACCGTCCAGCATTCAGGCTCAAACTCACAGTGAAGCCCACCGTGGTTGTATTAGTGCGTGTTTAATGTTTGTTAAAGCAGACAGCCGGGCCGAGAGAAGAGTGACAGTGAGTGTGGGCCGTACCTGGAGGCCTCCAGTTTCTGCTGCTCCAGGCGCTGCTGAACCTCCCAGTTCGCCCTCTCTTCCTCAAACACGCGTCTCTTCTCCTCCAGCTCCTTGTGCTGAGCCTCCAGGTTCTTCTTCATCTGCTCGTGACGCCGCTGAAGCTACAGAGAGACACACAGGACAGAGAAGGATGTCAGTAAAAGAAACCTGCAAAGACGTGTGAGCTGCAGAGCTTTTTCTACAATACAAAACCTGAATTAAAGAAAAAAACTGAATTAAAGAGAAACCAAAGAGCCGCTTTGTGCTTTAATATGTTGAGCGTATGAAGAAATGTTTAGTGTCAGTTCAACAAAACCGAAGAGATGAATGTACTAAGACTTTAAATGTACCTTCTTATGAACTGTACGATGAACTAATGTTTAATTTAATAGTTTTAAGGCGTCAGATCAGGAGGCGGAATACTTTTTCTTTGCAGAAGCTGCAAACCAGCAAACAAATCAGCTTTTATAGCATTGTTATAGGAGGAACCCCTCTTATCGGTGGAGGAAGTCATGACTGGACACAAAGTTTAGTTATCAGCCAGCCTGGTTTAAACAAACTGACACCAACAATGTTCAGATCTGCTTTTGTTGTCTTCCTGATTTAAAACAAGCGTTCTGTTTGTGTCCTAGTGCATTTTTATTGTTCATGTGTAAAGACAAATAAATAAAAAAAGCAAACAGAACATCAACGTACACGCTTATAGAAGCTCCCTCGCACTATAACGGCCACGTGTGTGTGTGTGTGTGTGTTTCTTACCTCAGCTTCAGAGTCTTTGAGCTTCTGCACTTTCTCCTTGACTTTCATCTCAAACACTTGCTCCATCTCCATCTCCATCTTCTTCATCTTGGTCACGTGCTCTCGCCTTTCCTCCTCCATCTGGGCCAGTGGACTCCTGCACGCGCACACACGAAAACACACACACACAGATTTAGACCAGCACTACAGAGCAGCGGCCTACTCCTCAGTGTGCGGACAGTGATGTCACCCATTATCACAGTTAACACCATAATTAACTGAATTTAGTGTATTTAACGACTGTTTGACCTAATTTGTTCCGCAAGCACTAATCGTATGTTAGCATTTCCTTTCTTGTGTGGAGAAGTAAAAGATGATAAAGAGAAAGAAGTATGTGGAGCATATCTTCTCTCCAAGAGCTGACAGTAACAAACTAACTGATCGCTGTAGCTCTGTGCCAATCTCAAATAACATCATGACAACATTCGGCTTTATTGCCCAAAGTAATACAACATGTCGGGGTTCAGGAGGAGGAAACACAGCGAGAGGTGAAGTTTTAGGAAAGACGGGATCCAACAAGGCTGTGACAGAAACAGGAAACCAAACCAACCATGAGACATGTTTAAGAGCCAGGAGAAAGACCCAGAATGCAAAGGAACCTGTGAACACTGAGTTAGTGCAGGTGGTGGGTTAGATGTTAGTAAAGCTCACCAGCAGGTTTTATTGCAGTGTAAGTTTACAGAGACCGGACATGAAATATGTGGAGATTCAGGAATGAGGACAGATTTATGGGAACTACGTCGCTTTATGATGATAGATTATTAGCTAAGGATGTGCACAATAACAACTGTAGAAAGAAAACAAACTAAAAAAGCTAAATTTACTATTATTACTTTGAGCGGTGGGGTCTTACTTGTACACAAAATCACAAAGTTGGAACAGTTTTGTTTTTGTAAGTTGACAGATTTTCGGTTTCCTAAATGTTAAACTCTTACTAATTAATACCTACGGATGTTTTTACAAAGTTTAAACTCTAACTCATAAATAAAAAAGGGATTCTTTAAATAATTAAAATTCGATGAATGAAAACACATTTTGTCTGAGAAATAAAAGTTATATTTTTCAGTCATATTTTGTCTTTAATTCATTCTGTTAATGTATAATCTTGAATTGTTATCGAATGGAAGAGACGAGAACGTGAACACATTAAGGTGAAACTCAATCACATTGTTGTGTTAAGTGTTTTAGCTTTAAGTAACTTCAATATAATGAAGTTATGTTAATGTCTTGCACCTCATTTTCATCCCCAACCACTCCAAACATCTCCTGTACAGGTCTCTGTCGTTACTCCGAGCAGAGTCAACAGCAGCAGGTGGAAGCAGCGATGAATACATGGAAAGAATTACAGGTTCGGTTCTTGCATCACATTCATAGCCGTCAAACTATATTTAAAAGTGTGGAAATTCAGTTTTTCTCCTTTTTCTGTTCCTGGAAAATATCTACTGACAGGGGGGAAGTCGGACGGGGGAGGAGGGAGAAGAAGACCTAAGTCAACAGGGGAGGAAAGAAAACACCCAAAACACAGCCAACGGGGGAGAAAAAAGGAAAAGGTAAAGAGAAACTGAACATCATTCACAAGGGTCTCAAAAAATAAGAAAAAAAATGACCACTTACATTCCTTCAACTGTGTCACTTCTAAAAAACAAAAACACAACCAACCACACACACACACACACGCACACACACGCGCGCACACACAGACACACAGCATGCAATAATGAGGTCATGCACTAACATGTCTATTAGACGTTTTCTGTGATTTCAGCCACTTTTTCACTGCAAATGGAAAAAATAACATCGTCAGCTTTGTGAGCTGGGTGTCAAATGTTTAGCTGTGTGTTAGCATCAGCAGTGGGAGGCCTCTGGAGAATCGTAGCTTAGTGAGTTAGCCATTTGCTTGAGTCTACATGAATGAGAAAAGCAGCATGGTGCTTTGAATGGAAATGTATGAAAATCAGTGGCGTGATCTTTATGCAAAGTAGTAGTACACAACAAAGAGCAAAAATCATGGAGTGTTTTTGTCAGACAAACAGAGAACAAACGGGCAGAGAGGTAACTCCCCCGCTACTTAGACTCTTCCAGTTACCTGGAACCTAAATGAAGGACAGGAGCAAATCATGTGACAACAACTGCAATCGCTTTCTACATCCTGTTGCTTTATCTGGGTTTCACTAAGTCAGAACACAATTTAATACCCGATACCGGCCAAAGTGTGACGGAAAATCAGTACGATAAGGCCTAGAATAGTTTATTATTATTATTATATCGTGTGAGTCTTATATAACCTTTTGAGGTTACTGTGTAAAATTAGGCCAGTTTAAAGCCAGCACTACATCAAACCTACCACATGAAATGGAAGACTAATCCCAACTCATCCTGCAACAGTTCTGTATAAATCAATTCCACTCAGCAGGCTTTAATGAACTAATGGGCTTGTAAATTGGCCCTAATAAACTAGGAACAATTCAGAGGTCCGGTTCTATTCTACACAGTCTAAGCTGCAGGTATAAATAAGACAATCGGACTACGAGTGCTGTCTGCAGTGCACTTTGTCCAGGACTTACTTGGTGCACAGTTGGCCTTTAGCCCTGTTGTTATCCACTCCGTTGTAGGTGACAGCGGCCAGCTTCCTGCTGCGGTAGTTTTCATAGTGGACGTTGTTCGTTACGTCCTTCAGGTCCTGCATGTGAGTCCTGGGGACGGACGACAAAGTATTCAGAATATTTAAAACGCTGTTTATCATCTTGATCTGTGCTGGACAAACAGTCTTCATAGAGCCTCGGTTTATTATCTGCCTGCTTTAATGTGAATAACACATGTTCCTTATGGACTTTGTGTTTACCTGATGAGCATATCCCTGAGGATGGTGAAGTCGCAGTGGTCACTGTTTTCAACTAGAAAAGAAGAAGTCAGTCATCAGAATAAACACATACGTAACCTTGTTTGTAGCTCAGACATTAAGTAACATCTGGAGTTACAACACAGGAACAAAAGTAATGTTAAGAACTTAAATACACAGAATTATTATCCTTTTTAAGTCTCATACTGTTTTTATCTGGTGCCCACATTTGTTTGGATGCATCACTTGTTTCCATTTCTTTAACTGACTTTCAGCATTCAAGTAATTTTCTGTTTGGTAGCTGAACATTCATACCTTCTGCAACCCCCCAGGGGTATTGTCTCCCTCTGACCCTCTTGCTGTTCACCTCGATGATGGTGTTGCTTCCTACTACAGCCAGCGGCAACTTGTCCTGGCAAAAAAAAAAAGAGAACAACATTTGTGAGTCTGGGTTCGTAACAAACTCGAACACTTGTGTGATACGACACAAACAAGTACCTTTATCTTCTTCACCAGCCTGTTCTCTTCTTCGTCGTCTGTCTCAGGGAACTCGTAGATCTTGATTTTGTGCTCTTGGATTTCCCGCATGATCTGGCAGGAAAACAGAAGATCTTTTAGAAACTTCTGGCAGAGCCGACTGGAAAGAGCTCAACACAGCAGGTGGTACACCGCAGTCTAACACGGAGTCCAACAGAATCATTTAAATAAAGAAATATCAAATGATCTGATGTGAAATGATTCGACACTATTGTATGAAATCTGTATAATAATCTTACATCTTACTTCAGTTAAGCAACTTAAATAGGTGACTCTGGGTGTAATGTTTCAAGATATATTAAGTTACAGTTTTCACTCTTCTCACACTATCTAGTGTTCATACAGAGACAGTATACAGACTTTACTTCTGTCAACTTGTTTCTTGTTAAAACAGAAGGCTCCAATGTTATGTAATGATATGTTCCTAATTCAAACACAACTCAAAATTAATGAGTGGTTAGAAGATGTTGATGTGGTTCAATTATGTGTGTAATGAAGCAAACCCCGTCACACAGAAGCTGTTTGCAATGCTACGTCTATTTTTTGTACGTATACGTCCGTATGCCGCTGTAGACACAGCTGTAACACCAAAGACGGTCTAGTTTATTTGGGTTTGCTTCGTGATGCACATTTTCACCAACATACCGATGACCACAGCAGAAAAAAAAAAGAAAAAGCTCTTGAATACTTTCTTTTTTGTGCAGTACAGCAGTATGCAGCTGTGGAAACCACTGACCTGTTTCTTGAACTGTTGGCATTCCTCGGGGGTGAGGGTGTCTGCTTTGGCGATCAGTGGGATGACATTGACTTTCTCATGCAACCGTTTCATGAACTCGATGTCCAAGGGCTTCAGTCTGCGAGGAGATAAACATACAGCTTTACATAGTTCAACTGGATACCGCGAGCACTGTCAGATCATTTTAAATCACTGCACCTTGTGTTTAATATTGATATCTTAAATGTTCTCACCAGTCGGGCACATTTAGGTACAAAAACATTCATCAAACTGTTAATGGTTACTCCTTTGCCACTGAAGGAGTAAATGGGATATTTTGGGGCTGACTGGCTTTTAGACTTACGGTTTCTCTGTCAGCCCTTCTTTAGACAACACAGGGATAAGTGGAGCTTAACCAAATATAGAAAAGTATCTGTGACGCCTGACTGATGTTTGTAATGTCTAGAAAATGACCTCGACTTATGAGAAAGTGCTGCTATTCTTGGCCGTTTTTTGAGCTGAATAAATAACATTTGACTTTGCTGAATTATTGACTTATAGCTCTGCATTTCAAGATAATTTAATCTTTATTTGATCTATTTGAGGGCACGGTGGAAAGCTGCCCTGAAGCAGAATCTGATGCGGTTATACATAGTATTATGAGTGGGAGGCATGTCTGTCACATCGCCAGCAGCCATGCAGGTCGCTGGAAACCTGGATGCAACAGCTGATAACAACTTATCCGAAATAAGAGCAACGAAAAAACATTTCACTGGTTCTTTATTCATCAAAATCACTTAAAATATGTACTAAAGATTCGATCACAGACAACAAATAATGACGGCTGGTCCGTGGAGCAACACAGCATCTCTTTTCTTGCAGTGCAAATCAACAAAAACCATATCATTAACAGAAATATGAGGAGAGTAGTAGTAAACAGCTCATGCTGGCGGATCAATATTTCATAGCTGTGTTGTATCAGCGATATCAAAGTCAACACAACACAGAAGATTATGTATAAATAACAACACAACCAGCCCTGAAGGTCTGTTTTCGCAGCTTTGACCCGACGTAAACTGAGCAGGAGAATGTGCTGTTGTTGAGCTACAATGTAGAAAAACCTCACTGTGATAAAGCTACCAGATCGACATTTCTCACACTGTTAAATAGGGAAAACTATGGAGAGAGAACAAATAATTAACATGTAATCGAGACCTTGAGAAAGTAGTTTTTTGGACATTTGTTTTTAGTTTATTATAGAGTATTTTTCTAGGTTACTGGAAAATCAGAATAAACGTACTGATTTGGCTGCAACTAGGAATAATTTTCATTATCAGTTTTTGTTTGATTATTTGCTTCTCTAGGAAATACTACTACAACTTCCCAGAGCTCGAAGTGACATCTTAAAATGTTTGGTTTGTCGGACCCCAAAAAAAAGCAGAAACAACCTCCAACCTCGTTTTTTATTTAGTTTTCCTGATCGCAAAGAAGAAAGAAACTAAAATTTGTGGCTTCTTTTTTTTTTTTTTGGATTAATGACTGAAGCAATTACGTTGTGGCGTTCACAATGTTAAAAGACAACTTTCTCAACTGGGGTTGAACCACAGTTTAGGGGAAAAGCAAGTTTAACAGATTTAACAGAGATTGATGAGG